GGGATATCGGTTTAACAAGTAGGCGTCGCTGCGCAGAGACGCGCGTCGCCGGTCAGTCGGGAGAGAAGCACGAGACGACGCTTGGCGCCCGCTCCTTCTCTGAGGTCTGTCGTTCGAACTGGGACTTCTGCCAGGGATCCGTCGGACAAGGCTAAATCCGACTCGCTTTGGAATGGAATGGCCTTGGCTCGTGTCCAGCTCCTTCCGTGTATCGCGTTGGCGCTAAAGGCATTGCGACAGTGCGGCTTTGCGAACCTACAGCCGTTCAGATTCCTCGGAAATTCAGAGTTTGGTATTAAAAAAATGGCATTTACATTTATGCTCATTGTGTGCAGTTTCATGTAGAACATGAACGGCATGCAGAATGCAGACTTTACAGTGAAGAACATGTTGGTATAGTATATGAAGTAGAGTTTGCCGAATTGAATATGTTTCAGGATTATGATAGTGTATATATGAAGTAGAGTTTGCCGAGGTGAATATGTTTCAGGATTATGATAGTGTGGTAAGTTTTGTAAATCTTAAAACCCCAAAAACGTCTTCAGGTAGAAACGGGCAACACCCATCATATTTGATCCGGTAAACCGAGCTGTTTCCGATTTCATCACAGACTTACCATCCGAGTCTGTCATCTTCGTGCTGTGGGGATATCGGTTTAACAAGTAGGCGTCGCTGCGCAGAGACGCGCGTCGCCGGTCAGTCGGGAGAGAAGCACGAGACGACGCTTGGCGCCCGCTCCTTCTCTGAGGTCTGTCGTTCGAACTGGGACTTCTGCCAGGGATCCGTCGGACAAGGCTAAATCCGACTCGCTTTGGAATGGAATGGCCTTGGCTCGTGTCCAGCTCCTTCCGTGTATCGCGTTGGCGCTAAAGGCATTGCGACAGTGCGGCTTTGCGAACCTACAGCCGTTCAGATTCCTCGGAAATTCAGAGTTTGGTATTAAAAAAATGGCATTTACATTTAAATGTGTGCCGAAGTGTTATGGCATTTCAAAGTTTACCGGACGAAGGACGTGATGAAACCGGCAATTCACAGACGGGGCAATTCGTGATAGCTTCTTCATGAATCTCTATGCAGATAGAGGTGATCGATTAATATCGATATTTTTTACTGTGGATTGTTATTAGCTCCTTGTTCAACCACAAAGCTCAGGACTACCCATTGTCGGTACTCGGGATGATTATTCGCTGTATTTGCTGCTGTGTCCGTATCTGGCGGCCGTCTGATCAACCCGCAAGGACAAGGGACCGACTTAAGCCTAGCGTGGATTAAATAAACTGTTGCTCGTATTCGTAATTTGGCGGGCAGGTCCGGCGCATTGCATTTCATCTATGTAAGTGTTTTGTTACTGGAACGGTATTTGTTTTATAAATGTTTATGCAGAGATCATTGTGGGAAAATGTTGGACTTGCTACCTCTGGCCGTTTCGGTATATTCATGCTTTGCTTCTCTAGTGTTCGGTTCCGTCACTGTGAAATTGTTTAAATTCAAAATCCGATCCGGTTTTCTGTTGAACCACACGCAATATTGGTATTGGTTAAGGAACTCCCTCGCTTTCGTCCACAACACGACTTAAACCTATGACAGAAAACAGAAGAAGAGGCTTTTGACTGATGCGATTGAAGACTGTTTTCATTGCCACAAAATCTAAGTAGTTGTCAGTGACGATGGATGGTTTCCATTAGAAGTAAGCGTTTGTTTTATAGCTATCTGCAATGAGAAGTCTGTAGCTAGTTTTTAGACGTCTTACCCCGTTATGGATGAATAGGGGGAAAAAGTATTATGGGCACACACTGCCTGAATGCGTGTCTCTGTCATCCATTTTCTCGTCTGTCCGTTCGCCCATCTTGTCGTGTCTGCGACTGTTGAAGGCATGGTTGGATTTGTCCGATTATATAAAGAGGATCCCGTTAAAGCTAGTGTCAGACCACTTAACGTAAATCAACGGCTTTATCTCAAATTTAAATAAGGTAATTTGTATAATTGTAATGCTGACTTGGTCTACGTCGTAGAGGCGCTTTCGTCCAGTGTTTCTGTTTTAGACTACAATTAAATAATCATCTTATCTGCCCATCATCCCCGTTTCTTCTCGATGATACCCCGTCTTCTGTCTTAATTTTGTATCAGTAATGTTCCTATTCCACATTTTTGTTGTTAGGCAATTGAACTGACGCAGACCTAGACATAAAAACCACTAATACGTACTAGTTCATGGAGTCGTTGTCTGTCGAAGTTGCCAAATTGGAGAGATCGGCCGGGATCTTTTCATTGTGAATCAAGGGTCGATTCCTAGGGGTCTTCATTTGTTGGAATGATTTGTGGGCATAGCTGTACACGATTAACACTGCAGGAATCCCTTGTTAACGAGATGGTATTTTCTTTTGTTACTAACTAATCGTATAGAACCACAGTATTCGTGATTTATAATATATATTTATCGTGCTGGAAGAATGTTGATACGAAATTCAATACTCGTACAACCACCCCGCAAAAATAATGAACTTGAATGTGGGTTTTAAGTATTTGAAGAATTTTAATTTGGCTGTGGTTGCATTGCTTGCTAATAGACCAATTTCCATCTAAGGAACCTTTCCAAATGTTGAGAGACGTGGATATTGTAGTGTAAGAATCTGTTGTATATCGGAACAGGTCAGGCCTAATCCCTGTCAACTGAAGAAGGACGCCGAGGACATACTTAGATTCTAGTGTGACGAAGGACGCTTCGATGTTGACAAACAAAGGCGAGGGTCTTCCCTGCAACTAGTAATGTTGAGTTATATTGTTCGTAATTTAGACTCCGAGGTGTAGTCGCCAAAATTTTAGTAATGTTCCTTTCCTGTGGTCCAAACTGAAGTATTTTGTAGTTTGGCGATGCACGTACGTGTCTTCCTCTAGCTTCCATCCGTTGAAAGGTCAAACTCTTACCTGAGCTGGAAAACTAGGTCGTTTCCTGTGATGCAATGTTTTCTCCCTTTAGGGTATAGATGTGTAACACAAAACTCTCTCTCCCTTAAGGGGATAGATCCAAATAATGCAAGAGAATATTTTTCTAGTTTAGTTACTTAGTGTGTATGAGACGACCATAATTATGAAGTTTGATACGAGTGAACATGGCTGTCTTGAGAGTTGTAGTGTCGTGTAGTCTGGTAGAAGTTTACCGACGTTTCAGAGGTCCTTGCCGCCTCCATCATCAAGCCGAAGATGGAGACGGCAAGGACGTCTAAAACGCTGGTAAGCTTCTACCAGACTACACGACACTACAACTCTCAAGACAGCCGTCTTCGAACCAACCTCCGTGTGAACCTTTTATCCTAAATATTTTAAATGGTGTGAGTTTTCTTGTGGAGGTCTGTAAACTCGTGTGTTGAACTTTATTTTGTAGACAGCAATAAACAGGCTGCTAAGAACACAGCCCTTTGCACTCGGCCTCAAGTCAGTTTACAATGCTCCGAAAAATACAGATGTTTTTGGGTGATATGTTTGTATTCTACGGCATTAATACTTGAAATGAATTTTCCCAGAAGACTCAGTTTTCGAAACAGCCTGGCACGGACTGTGTAGAGCCATATGAATCCATTTCATACAACTACTTTGTTTCCTTGAGATCCATTGATATCCTTCGTCTGCGTTTGCGTCTTCCGAGTGGCCTCGCCCCCCTGTATGCTACATGCCCGGCCCATCACATCCTTGATGTACTCGTCGTAATAATATTTGTTGAAGCGTTCAGATCATGAAACTCGTCCTTTCACTGAAGCGTTTCCAGAACTAAAATATGTTCATAACTGGTTCGACGTGCGCGAAACGTCAACGCGGGTTTCTTAATATTTTTCCTGGGGATCACATGATTTTACATTAAAATAGGGCTAGCTCATTTTTCACACGTTTATATCTGATAGTGGTAAATAAGCAGCGAATCCAATATTGTTTATTTGCTGTAGATAGGGGGATGATTTTTTACCTGCTCAGTTCTTACCTTCAAGCGTCTGGCTTATATTTATGATCCGCGTAATTAAATATATTTTAATTAAAATTGATGCAGTGTCATCGGTGACCTTTGATAACTGTCCTCTATAATAAAGTGTGGTTGGGTGTATAGTGGTGATACTGATTACATATTCCAGGGGGTGGGGGGTGGGGAGTTGTAAATGACGTAACATATGCACGAATTAGAAGTTGGAAATATTTCCATTCGTTTGAATAAATTTTTTTTATAACTAAAATGTGATTCGTACGTATACTGCAACCGATTTGTAACAAATAGAATCCTACAACCTGTTTTAAATTCGAAATTTGTAGTTAAAATAAAATCACCCTGATTCCCTAATAGCAGGCCTGCATTCATTTGTATTTTCCAGTTCCTTCCACAGGTGTAGCAGCCATATTGTGCGTATTGATCCGTTAATTGAGTCCAGTCATGTGCGTGACTTAGAGAGTCAAATTTTCAAGTTCACTGATCGCCAAAGAGCTTTTTTTTTACCCATCTGTGTACTTCTCTTTTTCAATAAGAAGGCAATGAAAAGCAAAGATACTTTTGTCCAGTTTTTAAATAAAGCCGTGGAGCGTCACCCTCCTTGAGATGTTAACAGACTACACTCAGCTAGTTAAGTAATTTCCCGTCTTCACAAGAAACCGCCACTGGCCCTATCCTGAGCCAGATGAATCCATTTTACCCCTGCCACTCGCATTTCCCTTCAGTCCATTTTAATATTATGCCATCTACGCTTAGGTTTTCTGAGTAGTCTCAGGGATTCCGGCCAAAAATTTTGTTTGATCGTAGTATTTGATGATTAGTAAAAATTATGAATCCCCTCATTTGTGATTTTCTTCTCATTAATTGAATTTACTCACAGTTGAGAATAAAGAAACAAAGTAGAAATGTCGAGATACGATAATCTCATTGAGGCCTTGTACTTGTGACGGCGTGAGGTAGCAGAATGTTTTTGGAATAACTCTTGTGCAAGGTGCCCAGTTTTGTAATCGAGCCTTTTACTCTCTTTCAGGAGGGCCATTCGATTCAGCATTCTCAAAGCACCACTTGGTAAGTCACGAATTTAACGAAGTTCTTGTAGTTCGTAAGAGAGTGATTTCGTGTTTTTCAGGAAGTTCGGTAGACTGAATCACGTAACTTGGTAGAGAAGTATCTTCAGCGTTTACGCACCAGATTAATAAATACTTGGTGTTTCATAGGAATTTGCAGACGTTCTCTCCATTTTACAAATTTTGCTCATTATTCACCTCGGCACGAGATAGGGATGAGAGTGGTCAGCGTCATCCTCGGGAAAGGACCCCTGTATCCTTTGGACAGGAGGCTGGGTGGGCCCAGAGGCTAGAGATGAAATCCCCTTATTGTCCCTCCCTTAGACGGAGCTAACGGGTTGCTAAACAAAATTAACAGCGGATTTCATTTTTGTATACACATTTTTAAAGCAAACGACAACTTCCCAGTGTACGGGGAGAATGAGGCTAGTTCTTACAATTTTCAATTACGAATTTTTGTACATTTGTTCTTAAAATTTACAAAGTTAGCGATTATGGCTTCAGGGACTACTACTATTCGGCTATATTAATAACAATTTTTTCAAAGGCGTATTCATTTTTGTTTCATCATAAAACTTGTTTATTTAAGAGAAAGCTGTTTGCAAAAATGTGCCCTGTTATGGTTATTAGTAAACAGAAGGAACAGTTCTGACCTTTATTAAGTAATTCATTATAGACAATATACCAATTAACAATTAATTACAGAATTTAACTTTAAACATATGAAACATAAATCAACCTAGCTCACGTAATACACAAGCTACAAGTACCATACCTCGGGTAGAACTGCACACAGGGGAGACGCAATTGATACGAGACTCGTGAGATGCTACTGCAAATGAGTGATTTTTAAACTAAAATATAACAACTTGCCCCCTTCTCCCCTACTTTAAATTTTCTTATTAGGAATCTGAAGTTCATGTCTTCATCCTTATGCAGAAATATAAAATTACGACTGACAGAATTCTGTGTTGGATCCGATTACAAGTGGGCAAATGGTCGGAGGTGGTAAAACAGTTCGATGAGACTTCACGTTCTTACGGAAACTTCGGACGTTGCACAGGAACTGACCGGCATGTCAAGCGTGCTTGCTGCCTCCATCATCAGGACGATATGTTTTTGAAAATATCTGAAACTGATCTCTCCGTCCGGACTCCAATGGCCCACGTAGCGAACACCACAGAAAGCAGTGTATTGTCTGCAGTACTCGATGGGTGCCTGCTATTGGTTTATTCAGCGGTGCTCTACCAACTACATTGGTTATACTCCTCCTTGATGGGGCACTTCAAAAGAAAAAGTTCAGTCCTTATCTGAAGCAAATAAAACGGTTTCCATTACAAGGATGGATACATTAATGGTTCTTAGTGATGTCATATCCCTTAATTTCGAGAATGATACAAATATCTCCAAAATACGCTCTGAACGAGTCAAAAGTTATGGATGGTTGAACCGGAGCACAACATAATTACCACTGGAACTTGTACGGTCAATTTTAGTGCTCTTTCTTAAATAAATACTCGACAACGTGAAGCTCAAATCAAACATGGCTGAATTTATCACAACATCCTTATCACAAAGACGTTTGTGGGTTTCAAAACGGGATTTAAAGTATTGTAAAATAAACCAATTAGAATATACAAAACTCGATCGAAAATTACCATTTCAAGGAAGGAATTCCTCATCTTTGAAAGCAGCATTTTTTTCATCTGGAATACTCCAACCTAAACAACACTAAAAAAGGACGTAATCGACAACAGCATCGGGAAACAGACGTACAAATAATAATTTTAAATGGAAAATTTTTTAATGTATGTGCCGTAAGTTTGACCTTGTTTCGCCAAAGAAAGATGCATTTATGGGCAGGCACCACGCAGCTTCTGCAGTTACGACTTCGGAATTAGTAAATTACCACAGTAACATCACAGCAAATTATGGAAAACTATAACAAGAAAGAAGGTATCTAAGAGTGACGCAGTTGGAGAAAATTAGATTTATCAAAGACAATATTGCGCCGTAATAAGGAATAATTAACAAGTTAAATGTTTAAAATGAAGGCTGCTTCACACCTAACTGAAGAAAAGATAGGGCTTATTATGATGTTTGAAAAAAGATGTCCTCCTGATCATAAAATTGTCTTGAAGAACATTAATTATGTAGACAGACTAAAAATAAAAAAGTTAGAGTCGGAAATTTAGAACACCAATAATATTATTGATATATAGCGATATAATTGTACTGTTATGCATCTTTCCTTGTTACCCCCCCCCCCCGGCACGATGAGCCACAAGGTCAATGAGGGGGGCCTGAAAAAGAAATAAAATCAAAATTAATAAAATTTGAAAGACAAACAATAGCAAAGGTACCACGGTTGCTGACGAAATGAATCTTGGAAAACTGAAAACTCTTGCCACATATTTCACTCCTTTGTTCACCTCCAAGACTTTTCTTACTTTCCACTTAAATTAGATAAGCTGATTTATTCTGCCTGAAACAATTCAATCAAAACATTAAAATACCTCACACTTTTTGTTAGGTGTTTGAGGACGTGATTTCAAATAAATGATGCAGAATAGGAGACATTGTTTCTCCACGATGTTTAATAATTTATTAGTCCTCATTTTCTAATGCAGGCTGCAACTGATCCATATACCTAACAAATGGTTACCCCCCCTTTGCGGAGCCTAAAAATTTGAAGTGAGTTTGGGAAAACAGTGGAAGAGTTGCAGCTTGTCAGTACCAAAGAAACAAGAGAAGTCCATGGATTGCAAAGTCTTCGGAGGTGAGAGCCTCTTCGCTGAAACAATTCAATCAAAATTGTCAGAGAATACTACTTTGAAAGCAGCTTGTCTGCGTTTTCAGTAGTTTTGTCTGTCCTCATAATCGAATTGAATTTGAAGTTTATCTACAAATTCTTACAGAAATCTAGGCGCAACTTCAATTAAAGAATCCATTGCGCAGTGGCATTCTTGGCTCGCGTAGTGTTCCGTAGCATGAGCATCTGTTTCTGATCACGTTCTGTGGAGTATTGTTACCCCCCCGCCCCTCAGAACCTAAATGACCTAACACGAACGAAAAGACAAACGACTGCAACATGTTAGGACCGCTCCGGCTGCCAACACAAACCGGTCGAGTTCCACATCCCAGTGCAGTCAGTGTTTTGGTGTTTGTGAGCCTGTTTACGATGGAACACGTGTTAATTAGTGTAATTGTGTGGACGGGCTGCTTCACTCTGCCAACTAAGGGACGAATCGATTGCACGCACCACTTTTTTTGTAGATACGTCTCAGTTTTGTATGAAAAAAACAGTAATTTACTTGTGAAAGTAAGCAGATTTTAATAAGAGATGATTTTCGAAGAGTTAGAAACATTATGAATATATTTTTCTCTCGACATTTGAGTTACGGTGGAAACGCATCTACCTTAAGCTAAGTGTACTAGGTAGGTTAGAGTCTTACGTCACTCCATCACCTGAAAACAAGTGACGAGTATCAACGCGTGAACTCTAGTCCCTGGTGCATGCTAAACAATTCTGTGCAGAAGAGGCCACAGCTTACACATTCTGCCAGCCTCGAAATTGTAGAGGCTATTTACCTAATTACATTCACGATGATTCTACCTTCTGAACGAAGCGCTTATCCGATTTCTTATTAAGTTTACCTAGTGATAACATACTTTAAGGTTGCAATTGTATTGTAGAAATTATTATTTTTTTATTATAATTTGGCTCTTAACATGTTTAATAATATTGTGAGAAAGTTCTATCAAATATTTGTTGTGGTGATGGTGATACATTACAGCACTACCACACTTAAAAATATAATGTGATTAACATTTAATGATGTTACACATGGTATCTGACCAGTATATTCTAATTGCAGATAAGAATGGGAAATTTGGTCCTTGGTGCATGCTAAACAATTCTATGCAGAAGAGGCCACAGCTTACACATTCTGCCAGCCTCGAAATTGTAGAGGCTATTTACCTATGATGATGACGACGACGATGATTCTACTTTTTGAACGAAGCGCTTATCCGATTTCTTATTTAGTTGTGTCAACTTTATATTATACCAAATGCGAACATGAATATTTAACCATTTAAGGGCGATAGCACAAATTTAGCTCTGAAAATCCGCTCAAATAACGACCGAGTTCTGTATGAGAACGTAGCCTGCTTCAACAACAAAATGACTTAAAAGCCTCTCGAATGATTTAATGTGTCTCTTCGTGACCTCTCCGTGTGTGTAAGAATTGAGGTTCTCACAGCGGTGAGTATGAAGATATCCGTCTTCTGGGTTGTTCCACTGTGTAGTCTGATCGATGTTAACCAACGTTTCAGAGGTCATCCTGCCTCCGTCATCAGAGTAGGAAGATTTCTGTCTTCTGGGCTGTTGCGCTGTGTAGTCTGGTCGATGTTAACCAACGTTTCAGAGGTCATCCTGCCTCCGTCATCAGAGTAGGAAGATTTCTGTCTTCTGGGCTGTTGCGCTGTGTAGTCTGGTCGATGTTAACCAACGTTTCAGAGGTCATCCTGCCTCCGTCATCAGAGTAGGAAGATTTCTGTCTTCTGGGCTGTTGCGCTGTGTAGTCTGGTCGATGTTAACCAACGTTTCAGAGGTCATCCTGCCTCCGTCATCAGGGCGATGAATATGCCAATAGGCCAACCAACCAAAACCAAAAAACCAAGAAAATTTTTATTCAATTGATTCTTTACCACAGTTGAATATTAAAGGTAAATTATAAATGTGTGGATCAGATTCATCCATGTCAGGACAGGGTGTAGGAGGGGGGGTCACACGTGAAAGTAGTTATAGACATAGACGTTAACACAAAAGACTGAAATTCCTGAGCAACTGAGTTGATATTAGCTTCTTCAGAAATATTCTAGTCCATTAAGTTACATATGGGCCTAAAGTACTGTGTGCAATAATTAAGTATCGGTGTTGAGTAAACTTTATTAGTTTAAAATTCAGGAATGTTCATCACCGTGCTCAGTAGAGGC